TGTGCGGAGTTATTGCTGTTTCCATACTTTGTAAAATGTAAAAATTTATTTTTAGTTAAAAAAGGTGTAGTTGCTGTAAAAATGCAAATATCGAGATGCACTAGATCTTGTGTTGATAGAAATATTGAGATGTACCGAGTTTGAAAGATATTGAATGTCAATTTCGCGTTTTACGAGCTTAATGACTATTCCCAATTCTGACCCGTTGTGGGGGAAGTACACAGAAGAATTGGACTCCACACCAGATCTTGTGTTAATAATAATATTGAGATGTGTGAAATTTGAAGACAATCGGAATCTTTTTTTACATTTCGATATTTCGCACCTGGCCTAGCACTGACAGAAATATTTGGAGTTGCCAAGTTTGAGTAAAATCGATTGCGCTTTTCTTTTTTAGTGAGGGAAATTATTTTCTTTGAAAATTTAGACCTTTTGTGGAGGTGGTACCACAAGGAGTTGGCCAATGTTTGACAATAATATTACGATGTACCAGCCAGCCAGACAGACGGACATCTCTAGACGACTCAAATTGTCCTGAACTGGATTAGGTACAAAGAGACCTAGGGTCTAACGCCGTTATTTCAATGAGGCACGTTTTGGCCGGATTAAATGATATGTATCCTCTGTAGCCACATGGGACTACTTCTATAAATTTACCGTGCACAAATGTTTCGCAATATATGTTTTCAAACAGCTCCTCTCTAACGATATCTTACAGTATGTGGAATTGTCATCACTTTAGAAACATTTGGAGCTAATAACAACATAATTACATAACTGTTACTTTTCAAATGATGGGCATGATTTTAAAATATGTTAATATTAAAATTAAATAGAAATATATTTTGATCTCTGCGAACAGGATTTTGGTTTTTTCTATCATTCAAATCGTCCATTAGTTTTTAAAACTAAAATTTAAATTAATACGAGTGTGAGAAAATCGTAAGATTATAACTTATCACGAAATGTTGAAATTTTGGTTTTAGTACCTGAGATCTCTTATTTGGGTTTAAACCTAATGAAACTCATTTAACGTATTCTCGACATTATTTGTATAGTTTGTTCACACAAACACTTTTTCAAAGTACTTGTGACTGTATCGACATGCCGAGTGTGCGCGCGAGCACTTAAATACACCCATTTAGAAAATATTACGCATATGTGTGGATGTATGGTACTATGTAGAAAGTATGTTGGTTGTTGGATTAAATGTTAACTTTGTACACCCTAACGTGCCGATACATTCGTACCTAGAGATGTAGGCAGGCGTGAGGAAAGAGGCGCAGAAAATAAATTCATTACAGCACACATCAAGTATGTTACTGCAATTTTCTAATTTTCACTTTTATTATAATATGGTCAAACAATTTGAAATGTCATTCCGAACAAGGGAAGTATTTTCGTTTGGTATTATAGAAATTAACAGTGTATAAAAATGGGTTATAATAGTTTTTACGTACATATTATTAAAAGTTGCATGATATAATTCGTAATTTGATTACAACGTGACTCAATGTGGAGCTTAATGTCTGAGATGGAAAACTCCATTTAGGGATACTAGACCTTGACCCAATACTTTAGATCCCGTTTTATGACGTGATTTCTATCCTATAACGGATAGTTTTATATCTTTGTGGTATTATAGTAACTCATTTAACAAAAATGTTGCTGGAAGATTCCGTATGAAAACTTTTATAAAGTCAATATTTTTCATATCTTCACAGAACAATAATCCAGCACCAAGTCGTGTTAAAGTAAAGCCGGACACACAATTCTGAATAAATTGCCCTAACTATGAAAAGAGTTAACTTTCACAATTTACATTCAAAATCTTTACCCGTGTTAACCGTGATATCTTTTCCGTACTCAAAATTAGTGTGATTGGTCAATTATCAGGGTAAATCCGTGTATCCATGTAAACTGACTTCCGGATGACCGGATGATCTAATGTGTGAGTCTTTGCTACTCCATTTAACAAAGCTGACAAAATACTTATTTTTATTACAATCACGGTACGCAACATGGCGCAATAGCAAGTTCTTTGTTTCTTTACTTTTCATTTAATAAAAGCAAAACGTTAGACGGCTTTATTTTTCAAATTTATAAAAAATATGTCAATTGTTATGTCTAAATAGTTATGGAATTAGTTTTATAAATATATTTGAAAATGATAGATAAGTTCCGATTGTGTGATACCCAACATCACTATAAATATTTAGTAGTAAATTAGTAAATTGAACAAAAAAAAAAAAAATAGTTTGAAATTATTTCAAATTCGGTTGCAAAATAAATGCACATTTTCGACGTTAATGGACAACACATTGTAAAATTTCGGGATAAAAATGTATTCCATAAAAATTCCACTCTTGCCTCGCGGGGTTTCTCCAATATAAGAATGTGGTAAAAATGATAAATAAACAAAACCAATTGTTGCATATTTAAAAGTCTATTTGACATTATATGACTCCAGCACAGAGTTGTATTCTCCTAGTTTCTTTGAAGTTGAGCAACCTTTCTTATTGAGCCAAGGATTTACATATCTTTTAACGAATGTCCTTGTTATGGAGTGTTTAATAGGCATTTGGGGGACTTAGGTATATAATCGGATGAACAAAATATGTGCGAGCTATAGCTAAATCTTAACCAAATTTTTCCAAATTTGGCATACTTGATTCTAGTCTAAATTTGGTAATCTCTGCCCACACACACACATTTGGCGAACAACATACTTGAAATCGAACGAAGATATATGTCATCAAACCTTTTCAAAAGTATTTCCCAGCTGTAAATTATAAAGGAGTGCCAGATCCACATTCAAAGTCTGCCGTCGTCCCCCTTTATAATTTGTAGTTTCGCTTTATGGAGTGATTTTTTTTGGATGTGACAGACTTAAACATGAAATCGGATAAAACATTCGTATGGGAGCTTACTTATAGGCTAAATTCGATCGTAAGTGGTAAAATTTATTACATTTTGGCATATATTGCGAGTTTAACATTTGAAAAAATACATGGAAATGCAATGCAAATGCCGATATGTGGGGATATACGATATTGTGGACCTATAAAGACAAATCTATGTCTGCGTGTAAAGTACTCACAAGGAACTCCTTGTGTGGATTTTCAAAATACCGAATATCGCGAGGTATCGTTATATGGGAGCCATACGTTATCGTTAACCTATATAGAGAATTCTCTGTCGAGGGGTAAAGTGCTCACAAAGAACCCCTTGTGTACAAAGAACCCCTCGTGTCCAAAGAACCCCTTGTGACCATTCCGTTCAAAAATATGGCTAAAAACATCAAAATACCGAATATCGGGGGTACCGTTATATGAGGGCTATACGATATCGTGGATCTTTATAGATAATTCTCTGCCGAGGTATAAAGTACCCACAAGGAACTTCTTGTGTGGATTTTCAGACAATTCCGATGAAAAATGTGGGTAAAGTCATCAAAATACCGAATATCGGGGGGTAACGTTATATGGGGGATATACGATATCGTGGACCTGTATAGACAATTCTCCCTCAGGGGGTGAAGTACTCACAAGGAACTACTTGTGGGCATTTTAGACAATTCCATTGAAAAGTGTGGCTAACATCATCAAAATACCGAATATCGGGGGTACAGTTATATGGGGGATATACGATATTGTGGACATATATAGACAATTCTTTTTGAGGGGGTAAAATTCCCACAAGGGACTCCTTTTGTGGAATTTCAGACAATTCCATTGAAAAATGTGGATAAAATCATCAAAATACCAAATATCCGGGGTACCGTTATATGGGCGCTATACGATATGGTGGACCTATATAGACAATTCTCTGCCGAGGTATAAAGTACCCACAAGGAACTCCTTGTGTAGATTTTCGGACAATTCCGATGAAAAATGTGGGTAAAATCATCAAAATACCGAATATAGGGGGTACCGTTATATGGGGGATATACGATATCGTGGACCTGTATAGACAATTCTCTCTCAGAGGGTAAATTACTCACAAGGAACTACTTGTGTGGATTTTAAGACAATTCCATTGAAAAATGTGGCTAACATCATCAAAATACCGAATATCGGGGGTACAGTTATATGGGGGATATACGATATCGTGGACCTATATAGACAATTCTTTTTGAAGGGGTAAAATGTCCACAAGGGACTCCTTTTGTGGAATTTCAGACAATTCCATTGAAAAATGTGGCTAAAATCATCAAAATACCGAATACCATGGGGGTACCGTTATATGGGGGCTATACGATATCGTGGATCGATATAGCCCATCTTCGAACTTGACCTGCCTGCAGACAAAAGAGAGATCTGTGCAAAATTTTAGCTTCCTATCTTAATTCGTTTAGACTGTAGCGTGATTACAACAGACGGACAGACGGACGGACAGGGCTAAATCATCTTAGAATTTTACGCTGATCAAGAATATATATACTTTGTTGGGTCTAAAATGATTATTTCGATGAGTTACAAACGGAATGACGAACTTAATATACCCTCCATACCTTTTTTGGTGGAGGGTATAAAAATGTAAGTTCGGCCGGGCCGGGCCAGTCATAAGCCATTAAAATATTCAAATGCAAAACTTGGAAAAATATTCGGTGAATAATGTAGCTAAAATCATCAAATTACCGAATATAGGGAGGTACCATTATGTGGAGGTTATACCAAAACCTGGACCTGCACAGACAATTTTCTGTCGTAGGCTGTAGTATTCATTACAAACTTCAAACACCAAATTTAAAATAATTCCGGTGAATAATGTGGCTAAAATCATCAAAGTATCGAATATCGGCTACACGAAGACGTGGACCTGCATAGACAAATGACAAACGGAATGACAAACTTAATATAAACTCCATACTATAGTGGAGGGTATAAAACTATTATAGTTCTAATTACTTGACAGAACTGACCTTATTCAACTAAAAAATGTATCAATTTCTTTAAAAAAACAATGGTTTTATTACATATTGTTTTTATATTTTTCAGGCGTTTGCAGCAAAACATTCCGATTCTGAAACGCTGCTAAGTAATTTAAATAACAAGTATTTCTATTACACAAGAACCCGGGGTCTTTTCAGAATATGTTATCCCAAGGAGAAGCCACCAACAAGCGCAGGTACAGTGCAGAATCTAAAAATAAAAATTAACAAACGTTGAAATGTCTCTTTGATTTAATTGCAGTTCCCACGTATCTGTCACCCATCGAAACTCATTGCTCGAATATAGACTATTTTCCACAGATGGAGGAGGATAAAATTTCAAGTGAGGATGTTACTTCAAGACTACACTTGGCTCGATCCTGTATTGCTATGTTTATATTAAGGTAAGCCTTAATAATTAAAATATAATTCTCAATTATGCCTACCCGCATAAATATATTCTATGTAATTACTTTATTTATATTGTAACATGTATACAAAGCCTTCAGGTCGATTAAAGCGATTACTCAATTTCAATACGGTGAACTGGGCAATTCAAAAATGACCACATTATAAAAATATAGAAAAAATATATATAAGACAAAATATAATCAGAACAAGTTAAAAGGGCTAAAGTTCGGTCGGCCAAATCTTTTATACCCTCACCCCCTACAATGTTTGTCAATGTAAAATGAAATAATGAAAATGGTAGACATTTTAGCGATCAAGGTTCACATTGAACTGATATAGAATGATGTATATCTTCATAGTGATCATTGAAATCGAATCGATGCGAATAAAATGTTATTGCACTTTGTGAAAATTGTGGTCATTTTACTCTTTTTTCACATCGTGGTCGCCAAATAGAATTTCACAAAATTTATATTAATTAAAAGGAATCTATTAGCTGTGTTGTTGGTATATCAAGTGTCCAAAGGAACCTTATTTTTTATTGATGTTGTTTTGTGGTTTATTGTTGTATTCTTTTCAACACATAATAATGAAAATGGTAGACATTTTAGCGATCAAGGTTCACATTGAACTGATATAGAATGATGTATATCTTCATAGTGATCATTGAAATCGAATCGATGCGAATAAAATGTTATTGCACTTTGTGAAAATTGTGGTCATTTTACTCTTTTTTCACATCGTGGTCGCCAAATAGAATTTCACAAAATTTATATTAATTAAAAGGAATCTATTAGCTGTGTTGTTGGTATATCAAGTGTCCAAAGGAACCTTATTTTTTATTGATGTTGTTTTGTGGTTTATTGTTGTATTCTTTTCAACACATTTATTTACGTTAATACGATGAATGAAGGACAATTTGCATATACACGTGTATATATTTTCGATTTTTTTAGAGTTTTCGTCCTCAGAATTAATAGTAATTTCTAAATTGAAGTCCTGGAAACATGACTTTAATTTATCTATCCAAAATGTATGTCGACTTATTAAAGTTATATTATTTTATATATATTATTATTAAAGAGACCCCCTAAAGTATGTAAAAAATGTGCTCCAATTTGGCAGTTGATGATTTCAGGACAGTTAAATCTAGTCCGTTAATATTTCCCAAAAATATCGCGAAAAATATAACATTTGAACATTTTCATTTTGACTTACTTTTTTCGAATTTACATTTGTAGTGTTTTTTTTTTTTAATTCTGAGTATAAAGCGACAACGGGCAAAACTTGTATTTATAGATTTCATGTATTTATTGGATAAGTGGAGCTATATAATTTCAGAAGATAATAAGGTATGAACAACAAATCAATACCATAAACCAACGGGTTTTTCAATTCGATTAACCTTATTTAATTGACTCGATTTCTTGAAAATTGAAATTGCAAGTGGGTTTCATTGAAGTGTAGTACCAAATTCTGTGGTGCAAAACTGAATAGATGAAATGGAAAGATAATTACTTTTTTTAAAATCGGTAAAATTTGTAAAAATTCTAAAATCGGGAAAAAAATTTTCAATGGAATCGAATTTCAAAACAATAGTAAATTCTATTGACAAACTTCGTAAGGACCTTTAAAAAATAAACGAACAAGTTGAAGATTTTTTTAATTTGTTTTCCTTTTTTGTCTATTTTATTTTTTTAATTTGGCTTATTTTCCCCATATAAAAGAAAGTTATGCTAGTTACTACGCCTTTAACCCAAGAATGGCTAGACGGATTTTGACAATTCATACAATTTCAGAATGGTATTCTGGCCAAAAAAAAGCGTGAAAATATGCCAATACAAATGTGAATGAAAAAATATTTTTGACGTAAATTTTTATATTTTTATTGTTTTGAATTCTGAATGAATAATAATAAAAATGAAATGAGTGCGCACATGGCTCAATCTGAAAGGTTGCTCAACTTTTCAATATGCAACAATTGGTTTTGTTCATTTTTAATTTTTTTTTTTTAAGCGTTAAGGGGTCCAAATCAAAACGTGGACATACTTCTTTCATATGACAATAATCCGACCAATTAGAACTCAAAGTGCAAAATTAACTGGGTCTGCAATCAGTGAAATATCGAATTTTAGTAAGAAAAGGATTTATATCTTTCCAGAAATGCTTCCTAAACTTTCAAGATACCTTACAATGCTTTTGCAGGTCATGATATGGGTCACAACCCACGTTTAAGGGTACAACCCGATTTCATGTATATTTTACATTTTAACCACATTTTTCATCTAATTTCGGCAGATTTCGGTAATTTGAGAAGAAACCACCCTTGCAAAAAATGTTCACGTTTGGTATAACTATCATATGATTTAAGCTATTTTCGGGGTCTTGCACACTTTTTTCTTTATTTGATCCTTTTTTGGCATCTTGGTTTCTAAGGAGGTAGAAGACCTCTTCTCATAAAAGTTTCAATTTTCGGAGTAGGGTCCATCTTGGTCTTGACCACATTCAATTGATTTGCCTAGAAAATTGTAATTAGGCTACTCTGGTGTAGAGAAACATCTTAGAGATAATCATCCACATAGGCATTTATTTAAGTATAGTCCCCACATTAGTGTACCCTCAAGTCCACTTTCCCAACCAATGTGTGGTCAGAAAGGAAGATTTTGAGTTCTATTGAATTTTTAACCCCCAAACGTTGGAAATACGAATTAAAAATTACAGCTCATTTGAATGGAAAATGTTGCTAAGCTCTTTACAATACCAAAAATTTAACTCAGTTTTCACATGGGGCTGCTATTCAAAATATCTAAAACCGACGGTAGGTGAACATCTATTGTAATTTTTGTCATGAATAATTTTTTTTATTTAGAAATTATTATCGCGTCATTACTATATAGATCTGTGATTTATTATGCTTTTAAAAATATGCATTAAAGACTAAAGCACGGGCCGGCAACGCAGAACTTCATATACACACAGAATCTGAAATTAATGAAATTGGCAATACGAATGATCAAGTTGCAAGTTGTTATTCTGCAAATTAAAAAAGTGGAAAATTCATGGTTTAAATATATTTCATTTCCTGACTTACAGTTTCATCACAACATTCTGTGCGTTCTGGACTGGCTTATCCGGGTGCTGGAAAAGATCATCGGGTGCTATCACAGCTACATCAATTTTATTGCTTGCGACTTGTCTACTTGCAGCTGGTGCTATGGGTCTCTGGCATACAGTGGAGTTCTTCGAAAAAGAGAAAGTGGTCGGAGAGGACTATTATCAACAGTGGACTACCGTAAATAATTTATATATGCCTTTGTATGTACATTTCCAAAACGTCATTATAACTTTTCTCCTTTTGCAGGTACTAAGAGATAATACAAAAATTACATACGATTGGTCATATATTGTTGCATGGGCTGGTGTAGGTTCATGTCTATTGGCTGCCATATTACTATCGGGAGCTGCTGTCTGTCTAAGAAGTGAACGGGAAAAGGAAGAACAATTAAATTTACAATATCTTATGCCAGGTAACTGTCAACATTTATTAATAAAAAACAAGATCATGATAATGATATTAATACCGAAACATGTGTTCATAAATCGCGTCGCTGGCAATCTAAATAATTCCTTATAAAATGCATAATTTAGTTGCTAATGTGTAGCGTATTGACTCCGATTTGGTCTAAGATCTAAGAAATGTAAATTTTCAGTTCGCGAATGTCACGTGTCTATGGTTTTTTGTTTACTTTTCTTTCGAGATGAGCTTAATGATCTGAAATTTGTAGTGGAAAGGAAAGCCAAAAGGAAATTCCAAATCATTAAGTTCTGCATTTTTGTTATTTGCCTACGCATACATTGATAATTGTAATTTAATTTTCTTTTTGCAGTATATTCACAAAAACAACCTCCTTATCCGCCATACGCAAACTATCCTCAACCTCAAATGTTTGCTGGTCCGTACTACCATGGATCTCAATATGGTCCTTACAACTACTAACACGATTCGAAAGCTAAACAATCACAAATAATAATAAATTCATCCAATATACATAAATATATAACAAATCAGTTTACCGAATCAGCTTTCGTAATAGCGAAGAATGTGATTACAGGTAAAATGTGTCAAGATCTTTTGTGTTTGTTATGTATTTTTGAGCTGCGGACGGACGGTATTGCGACGAAAAAATTCTAGTGAGAAAAAAGGAAATTATTTATTTTCAATTAATTTTACTTAACTAAAATCAGAACTTTTGTTTTCTTTTTCTTTGTAATAAACACATCTAAACGATTAAATATACATTAACATGCATATATGTAGGTCTAAGGACTTGATTAATGAAAAATATAGATGTGTATATCATATATGGATTTGTTATGTAATCTTTCAACGAAACTTAAACAATTTAGATGTTATAAAATATTTGTATAAATATATGTTTTTTAAGTTTTTTTAATTGATAAGTGGCAATTTGTAGAGAACTGATTAATGTCTTCCATGAATAAGAAACAATATCTTGCACACTTTCATATGTACATCCATTCGTTGGCGAATGCGTAAGAGATACAAACATATAAAAACACAATCTAGTTAAGTGCATGCTGTTGTATGAATCCATGTACGGCTGCATACAAACATTTGTATGTATTTAGAATTAAAAAAATACAAACTTATATATATTTATGTTTACATTTCGTTCTACATTTTAAAATTCAAAAATATATGTTAATAAATATTTGTATACAGAAGGGAAACATTTAAGTTGTTGGTCTAGACAAACAGGGACCATGACCGATGACCAATTTTGCTGGATTTTGACATAAAAACAACAAAACAATGAATTTTAATTAAATCGGAAATAAATGTGGAAATTAAATTGCCCTTCGTATTCCCAAGGTATTAACGTTTATAGATACCTTGAGATCATTGTAAACTTATTTTACACACCCCTCTTGCAGTTAAGTTATTGTGCGTTGTTTTTTGGCTTGGGTTTCGACATTATGACAACATTTTGGCCGCCCGACTGGGTTGTGTTACTCTTGGAATAAGGCATATTTGGCGCAGTAACAATTTTGGCAAGCTAACCAACGCGGAAGTATTTTAATGACGGTTACATGGAGATGTTCGCATTCTTTACGGGATTTCGAGGATATTTTTATACCCTCCACCTTGGAAAGGAGGGTATATTAACTTTGCCATTCCGTTTGTAACATCCTTAAATATTCGCCGTAGACCCATGGTGTTTATATATTCATAATCAGCATAAAATTCTAAGATGATTTAACAATGTCCGTCTGTCTGTTGAAATCACCATACAGCCCACATTATTTGACGTAGAGCGTCAACATTTAGCAGAATAATTTGTATTATGTCTAGGATGGTTGGTATTGAAAATGAGATGTATCGGTCCACGTTTTGATAAAGACCCCATATAACGGTACATCCCGATATTCGGTATTTTGATGATTTTTGCAACATTTTTTCACGGATTTGTCTTAAATTTGGTATTTGTAGGTCATAATGGGTCCTAGTTCGTGCGGCGTAACATTGTATGTATATGTCCACGCTTTGGTATAGCCCCCATATTACGGTTCCTTCCGATATTCTGTATTTTGATGATTTATGCCACATTTTATCACGGATTTGTCTAAAAATTGGAATTTGTTGGTCATAATGAGTTCTAGCTCCGTTCGCGAAATATTGTATGTATAGGTCCACGTTTTTGTATAGCCTATATAGAGCGGTACCTCCCGAACACAGACTTATAACCCCAAATAAAATTGTGTTCCCATTCCATTCAAGATAACTATTTTAAAGATTCTAATCGCATAATGTTCAGATTTCATTTCATTTATTTTCATAAAATTCAATAAAAATGAGCCAACATGGCCAAAATCTTATATTAACATACAACAGTATAAAAACATTCTATAACTATATTAATCTAAAAAAAAAAAACAAGTAAAAAGGCAGTAAGTTCGGCCGGACCTCCACCATTTGGAACGAATTAGAAAATTTTCAAAAAAAAAAAAAAAAATAAATAAATAAATAAAATCCATTAAAAATTCTTTTAAAATCTTTAAAATATCTAATATAAGAAGGTGCCGATATGTGGGGATATACGATATTGTGGACCTATAAAGAAAAATCTATGTCTGCGTGTAAAGTACTCACAAGGAACTCCTTGTGTGGATTTTCAAAATACCGAATATCGCGAGGTATCGTTATATGGGAGCCATACGTTATCGTTAACCTATATAGAGAATTCTCTGTCGGGGGGTAAAGTGCTCACAAAGAACCCCTTGTGTACAAAGAACCCCTCGTGTCCAAAGAACCCCTTGTGACCATTCCGTTCAAAAATATGGCTAAAAACATCAAAATACCGAATATCGGGGGTACCGTTATATGAGGGCTATACGATATCGTGGATCTTTATAGACAATTCTCTGCCCAGGGTATAAAGTACCCACAAGGAACTCCTTGTGTGGATTTTCAGACAATTCCGATGAAAAATGTGGGTAAAATCATCAAAATACCGAATATAGGGGGTACTGTTATATGGGGGATATACGATATCGTGGACCTGTATAGACAATTCTCTCTCAGGGGGTAAATTACTCACAAGGAACTACTTGTGTGGATTTTAAGACAATTCCATTGAAAAATGTGGCTAACATCATCAAAATACCGAATATCGGGGGTACAGTTATATGGGGGATATACGATATCGTGGACCTATATAGACAATTCTTTTTGAAGGGGTAAAATGTCCACAAGGGACTCCTTTTGTGGAATTTCAGACAATTCCATTGAAAAATGTGGCTAAAATCATCAAAATACCGAATACCATGGGGGTATCGTTATATGGGGGATATACGATATCGTGGACCTGTATAGACAATTCTCTCTCAGGGGGTAAATTACTCACAAGGAACTACTTGTGTGGATCATCAAAATACCGAATATCGGTTATATGGGGGATATACGATATCGTAGACCTATATAGACAATTCTTTTTGAAGGGGTAAAATGTCCACAGGGGACTCCTTTTGTGGAATTTCAGACAATTCCATTGAAAAATGTGGCTAAAATCATCAAAATACCGAATACCGTGGGGGTACCGTTATATGGGGGCTATACGATATTGTGGACTTATATAGATAATTCTCTGCCGAGGTATAAAGTACCCACAAGGAACTACTTGTGTGGATTTTCAGACAATTCCATTGAAAAATGTGGCTAAGATCATCAAAATACCGAATATCGGGGGTACCGTCATATGGGGGCTATACGATATCGTGGACCGATATAGCCCATCTTCGAACTTGACCTGCCTGCAGACAAAAGAGAGATCTGTGCAAAATTTTAGCTTCCTATCTTAATTCGTTTAGACTGTAGAGTGATTACAACAGACGGACAGACGGACGGACAGGGCTAAATCGTCTTAGAATTTTACGCTGATATATATTCTTGATCATACTTTTTTGGGTCTAAAATGATTATTTCGATGAGTTACAAACGGAATGACGAACTTAATATACCCTCCATACCTTTTTTGGTGGAGGGTATAAAAAACTAAAAAAATAACAAAAATTATCAACGAATAGTAATATATATGCAATAAAATAGTTATAATAATAATGTAAATTTAGTAGCAATTCAGGAATAAGACCCTCAGACACAACTCCTCTACCAAGCTGAACAACAGTTAAGCAAGGCAGAGAGGAAAAAGGCAAGTGGCATCCATACGCTCAGGCGCCATCACCCGTTTCCAACCGAGCGAATGTAGCTACTACAAGTATCCTTTTTTAAATCCTTAAAAAACAGAAAGAACGATAAAATTATGTACTCTATGGAAAACAAACAAACAAAACAAAAAATGGCTCCCAGCCAATAACTAAAAAGAAATAACAAACAAGTAAAAAAAACATTAAGTTCGGCCGGGCCAAACTTTTAATACCCTCCACCTTAGGGTAAAGGAAACATTAGAAGAAATGTGGCAAAAACCATTAAAATGCCGAATATCGGGAGGTACCGTAATATGGGGGCTATACCAAATCGTGGACCTACACATGCAATGTTTCGCCACACGAACTAGGACCCACTATGACCTGCAAATACCAATTTTCAGAAAAATCCGTGAAAAATGTGGCAAAAATCATCAAAATACCGAACATCGGGAGGTACCGTTAAATGGGGGCTATACCAAAACGTGGAGAAATTCAGAGAAATTCGTGAAAAAATGTGTCAAAAATCATCAAAATACAGAATATTGGGAGGTACCGTTATATGGGGGCTATACCAAAACGTGGACCTATACATACAATGTTTCGCCACACGAACTAGGACGCATTATGACCCACAAATACCAATTTTTTGACAAATCAGTGAAAAAATATGGCAAAACCGTCAAAATACCGAATATCGGGAGGTACCGTTATATGGGGGCTATACCAAATCGTGAACCCATACATGTAATGTTTCGTCATCGGAGCTGGAACCCATTTTGACCTACAAATACCAATTTTCAGACAAATCCGTGAAAAAATGTGGCATAAATCATAAACATACCGAATATCGGAAGGTACCGTTATGTGGGGACTATACGAGAACGTGGACCGCTATATCTCATTTTCAATACAAACCATCCTAGACACAATACAAATTGCTCTGCTAAATTTTGGCGCTCTACGTGAAATAATGTGGGCTGTATCGTGATTTCAACAGACAGACAGACGGACGGACATAGTTAAATCGACTTAGAATTTTATGCTGATTATGAATATATATACTTTATGACGTCTACGGCAAATATTTAAGGATGTTACAAACGGAATGACAAAGTTAATATACCCTCCTTTCCAAGTTGGAGGGTATAAAAATAACTCGCAACCAGAAATTCAATGAACAGACAAAAGAACCTCTTCCTGTACATATCAAAAGAACAGGTATAATTAGGCAGGGTAAGAGGGAGCTGATTCCACAATCTCGCAACTCTCACAACAAACGCCTTCTCGCCAACTACAGACGAAAAACTTGGAAACAGCAATTGCCGATTTCGAAATTTCTATGAGGACATCTGGGAGTTCAATTCTAGTACCTTACAAAAATTTTAATTCATCTTCACGTTTTGCTATAGCTAATAAATAGATACTTTGTATGGTCGGCCATCTGACAACGAAGTTTGCTGTCAAAAGACACATTGTGATTTAAAAGTCACAGAGAATCAAATCACAATAGTGTTAAACCACTAAATTTATTGTCATTTTACATTTTATTTATTTTATTATTTTATTTTTATTTTATCCTCATGTCAAATTCTTTTCTAGATTTCATAACCAGCTGAAAGGCTAAGTAAAGTTATTTCATAGAAACCTCTGTATTTTTTTCAGTGTACATTTAAGAAAAAACTGAACATATTAGTATTCTACTAAAATTAAAAGAACCTGAAATTAGTGGAACTTAGTACTGCCTTTTAATTTATATCATAATGAAAAGAAGAAATAGATTCGTGCAGGTTTTTGCACAAAACAGTAATAAAACAATTATTGTTTCATTTCGGAAAATCCACTAGTTTTATTTTCTTTACTTCTACATTTGGAAACAGGTATTGGTCTGTTTGAAAACTGCAAGAATGTAAAAGTTTTTACTACGACAACCGATTTTGCCTTTATGATATCGAAGAAAGTTGAAAACATGTCTCAAAATGTGTTGTAAACATAAAAGAATGTGTAGCCAGTTTAGATTTCATAAA